ATGTAATGGATGAGAATACTCCTATGATAAAATGCTATAAAAGCCAAAATAGCAACCAAAGAACTTACAGAAGAGATAAACAGAGTATACTGAAACAAAATGATAGCTCAAAGTGGCTCCTACAGCTAGAATGGCTGGATAAAAGAGAAGATTGTTCAGCCTGTTTTTCCTCCAAAAATCCGCCATTTTACCACCACTTTGGGTGCGTGTTAATTATTATTATTATTATTATTATTATTATTATTATTAATACTTTACAACACATAATACAGAGAGCAAAGATACAAGTGGTAGAACAGAGAGAGAGAGTTGTGTTGAAGGTCTAACACCAACTAGTGGAGTAGCCTTGATGAGTATAAAGAGGAGACATACATACATTAATCAAAATAAATTTAAAAGATACATACATTAGACACAAGCACATAAACTACACGGACAGAGAAAATGAAAAGAGCAATTAGAATCGCTTAAGTGCAAAAGGTCCATTAGTAACGCGGTAGCGTTACTAAGTAGGATTCACCCCAAAACAATATGGCTGCCACGACTTTTGCAGCCTGGCTATACCGGGAAAACTAGCTCTTATGCTTACCAGACTTCTTAGAGGACCTTATCTTGACCAGAGGACTCCATTGGTACCACTAGTGTGGCTCTAGACCTTGTCTAAGAGAAAAGTCAAAAATCGGCAAAACGGCCGTTTTGTTCAGTCCACTTTTTTCATCTTCATCTCCTGTCAATCCAGTTGTCGGTGTGTATCTGAATATTGGCTGGTGCAAGAAGGCTAATTCTTACACCATTCTACTTAAACAGTCTATACGCAGGTCCATGTCCCATCATATCATTCTCCAAGAAAGGAAGAAGTGATACTGTGACTGTTGGATCTGTCCATAGATATTAGAGACGTAGTCTCTAATATCTATGATCTGTCCAACCATAGACACTTTATGGTCCAACTTACCTCGTGTCGCCATTTTGTTAATTAAAAGAAACATGTGCTCAAAAATTTGGGTGTGGTCGCGCATGCTCAGATGTCAGAACTGGGAAAAGGGAGCAGTTTTTTTATCTAGCTATGCTTGGATCAACTGCAATACTTAGTGGGGGTTCCAGGCTTCCAGCTCCAGCAAAGAGAAGGTATTTAATCTTGGATATCATTGTTTTATTAAAATAAATATTAATAAATTGTATTTAAAAAACACAAACAATAATTATGTAAAGCAATGATCATGAACTTGACAACAGGAACAACACAGGACAGAATTGCAAGGAAGATGAATGCTCTCACTGCTTCTTGACCAAGGGCTCTTGTCAAGACTAGTATTAACTTATGCTTTCACTAAACACTGATTATGCAGTATAGAATTAACTATTGGCAATGGACACCATGCATCTGAAGAAATATTACAAATATTATTAAAAAATCAACATAAACAAGAACATAAAAAATTAAAAAAA